GTTTTATTATAATTTATTCGTTAATTTTGAGCTCCAATAAATGTAGTAAATAAAACTACCAAAATCTATATTTTATTTAATAACCGGCCTGGAGCTCAAAATTAACGAATAAAAAGAGTAATTCTATTAATTTCAATGAATTACTACACTATGGGCATCATCCAAATCGGCTTTGAATTCAGGCGGCTCAATTTTCAATTACATTTAGTAGGATTGCTACCTGTTTAAAAAAGCAACTTAAATCAAAATAACATATGATTAAACAAGTAAGAAAGTCTAAGTTCGGGTGGAGCCGAACATTAAATACCTGGCGCAAGTATTAAATATATGTTTTTTCACCTTTCCGAAAGCTACCGCTAGATGGTAAACCGGGGTGTATCACTTTTGAGTAAATTAGCGTCCTTAAATTTCGAAATATTGCAGTTTCAAGCATTTCTGAAATTTACCGTTATATGAAAAGCGGCCGTAATTTTAGTCCGATTTCAATAATTTTAAACGTTTTGCTTTTATGTGGCAAGCACAATAACCATACGAAGTTTGGTACAAATTGGTAGAAAGCTTACCGATATAAATATATGTGATCATAAGTGGGCGGTGCCACGCCCATTTTCCAAAATTTCACCATAACTGTATTTCTTGGTAAAGAATTGTTGCAAGCATCAATTTTGAATAAATTAGCTTTAATATTTACTGATTTATCGAAGATTTTGTATTTCTCTAAATTACCGTTATATGGGATGTTGGCGTGGTTATTGTCCTAATTTTTAAACTTTCGGCCATTTAGTATGCTATATCATGGCCAACAACTGTGCCAAGTTTGGAAGAAATTGGTGCAGCGGTTACCAAGATATACACATGTAACCATAAGTGGGTGTGGCTACGCCCATTTTCCAAAAATTTGTAATATTCTTATTTTTCGCCTAAAAATAGTTGTAAATATTAATTTTGAGTGAATTATCTTCAGTAGTTACTAAAATAACGCAGCTTTTTTTTTTATCTGGAAATTACCGTTATATGGGAAGTGGGCGTGGTTACAGTCCGATTTCGTCCATTTTCAATACCAACCTACCTTGAATTAACAGAAACCTACATACCAAATTTCGTTGAGATATCTCAATTTTTGCTCGAGTTATCGTGTACACGGACGGACGGATGGACGGACGGACAGACAGTACCGCTTAATCGATTTCTCTATTCATTCTGAGCATTTATGTATACATTTGTCTATATCTATCTCGATTCGTTTTGGCTGTTACAAACAACCGTTATGTGAACAAAATTAATATACCCTTGTGCACAAGTGCGCTCGGGTATAAAAACACTATACGGAGCAACCATTATGTTGAATTTTATTGAAATAGTTTGCACCTTATCTAACACGCAAAAATTTCATACACTTTTGTTTTATTTGAGATGTCTTTTAACTTTATTTTTTAGTGAATCTTTTGTGACTTCTTAGAATTAATATTAATAAATAATTTGGAAAAGTGGCAACTTTGTACAAATATCTCCGATAAAATTTAAAAAATTATCTGAATACAAAATTCCATCAAAATCGTTAGAGTCGTTTCCTAGAAACCTTTGGATTTATATACATACATATTTACAGCAATTGATTATTTAAAGTAATGATACATATATGTAGTTTGAGAAAAAAATCGTACGATTTTGCTGCCTTAAAAACTTATTTGCAAATTTTTACAAGACTTTCCCTTAAGTAGAGAATTTTTTTCTAAATGTACTGACAACTATTTTCTCCCTGCAACTCTCCAAATTTTTATATTGAACCCCTCCTCCCTCACTGTCCCAGCCATTAAAATTTGCAAAAATACGATATTTTTCCTTGTAGCTCTGCCGGCACCAGTTCATATTATATTTGTATTAAACTATTTGGATTATATGGTATTTCTCTGCTTTACAATTATCTAATTTAATATAATTTAAAAAATGAACACACGATTTAAAACAGATTTTTACAACTTCGGCTTGTATTAAACACATTTAAAAGCCAAATAAACAATTATCAACACGGCACTTTGACAGCGCAGTGCGAGCGAATTAAAGCAAAGAGCGATAAAAAAATAACGGAATCTAGTCAAGAATTATGTTCTCTTCACCCTATATTCAGTTAAAAAAGAAAAAAAGTGCGTTTGGAAAATTCGACTTTTGGCCGCCTAAATCGGCCAAATACCCCTCTGTACAATGCACCAAATCTCTTAAATATTTTTTTTATTCGAGTATATCCTGAAAAATTCAGGATCCTTTAACAAAAATCCTGATGCATATTTGGCTCCTAGTTTTTTGAATATATGGATTTGTGTGTTTAAATTTTGAGTTTTTGTCGCACGGCGTAATATGCCTCCAGTGGGCAATGTTTTACGTGCGAGAAAGATAGAAAAAAAAATTCGGTATGATGGAATAATATAAGTTATACTATGCAATTTTGGGCAGAAGTGTTCAAACTTATATGGATGCAGGTGGCAACAAATTGTTTTCCGATCTGACGGAATCTGGCTTCATTTACTTTCACTACCTTGATCTAATGCGGACCTGGAACTTTATCCAGTCAGCTGAACTTGGTGAAAACAACGCGGCGTAATAGTATACACTCATATATGTATATGTATGTAGTTATATTAACAGTTATTCTTATTTTTCATTTCTGATGAACTTCGATTCCAGCTGTATTATGCGATTATTCATTTCAATTTGAAGTAGTGTTTCAAATGAATTGATTAAAATTATATTAATGTAAACCTATTTAGCGGCCGCTGTGGTATAGTGATTAGCAGAGCGCGCTACCACTCCCCAGGGCCTGGGTTCAAGCCCTGGTCAAAGCAACATCGCAAAAAAATATAGACAAAAGGCGTTTTCGCCTCTCGGTAGGCAATGGCAAACCTCGGCGTGATTTATGCCATGAAAAACAAAAAAACAAAAAAGCAGCTTCTCATAAAAAGACAATCGCCTCTCGGAGTCGGCGAAAAACTGTAGGTCCCTCCCCTTTGTGTGACAACATCAAGGCGCACGCCACAAATCCGAGGAGCTCGGCCAAATACTTACATACATACGTATAAGCGCCAACCTATTATTCCACCTATTTAGTTTTCAGCTTTTATTTTGCGGAATTCAGCTTTTTTCTAGCGCGTTCTTAAACAAATATGGATTTTTTAATCGAAAATAGTAGGCAGCACTGGCCTGCACACTTGTTATCGGCAAATCGTAGAATATGCAGGAACTGATGATTGTCGTTTACTAAAAAATTTTTGGCAAAGTCAATAAATGCAGTAAAATTACATACAAAATTAGTATTTCATCTATAAAGTCTATGAAAACTATTAAAAAGTGCATAATTGCTTTAGGATTCAATAAAAGTAGTGCTTTAGCTATCAAATATGGCGAAATTGTAAAAAGTCTCCGTGCCTGCACAAAACACATTTCAGGAAAAGAAAAGGAAGATAATTACTGAAAAATTTTGCCTGGCATTATTACAGGATATTTCTATATTGTAGCACTAACGGCATAAAATGGTTCAGACCACTTTCAAAACTACGGGTACATATGTATGTATTAGAGGCTGCATGAATTCATTGAAACTTCTAGCCAAACAGAGTACAGTAGATTTGAATATTTTACTTCACATACAAAACACTCTGCGTTTGGAATTTTGTAAGTTATGAGTATACATTTTGTTTTATATTATCTAGCTTCAAATGGAAGAATGTGAATGAATGAATGGAAAACATTCAAATCATTCAAACTCATTTGGGTAAAATTTTTTTTCTACAAACAAGTTTTTTCGTATGTAATAGGAGCGCAGCAACACATACATACATATGTATGTTTGTACATATGTGCACCGAAAAAATATTTTTGGTTGTTCATACAAAAAATTGTCATTTATTTCAATTCAATTTATTTTCACTTTGTTTGAATATTGTAATGTCGACACAAGTATTAGAACTGCTTTTCACTCAAATTCAAAAAAATTTGAAGCCCAAATCATTCATTCGTTTTGTATATGAATAATTCATAAGCCGTTTTGAATGCATTCATGCAGCCCTCTAGTATGTATGTATGTATCTATGTGAATCTGTATAGTACATCAGTTTATACATATATCGCTAGCTTAGAGTGAAAAGTTGCTAAGTCCAATTCTTAGGAAAGCTCATATTTTTATATAGGAACTAAGAGAAATTACAAATAATGCATCTTTTCGAAAAGGGTTAAGGTACTTGTTTTATGTTTACTCGTTTATATGCAACGAAAGGCAAATTTGCTAAATGCAAAAGATGCACCGATAATCCGATACGGCCAATATAATAGTGATTTCGTTTCTTCCAAAAAATATTGCCCTTCCCCGGTGCAAAATCCTCAATCCTGTAAAAGGGCATGTTTTTGCCTCTTGTCTTTGTCCAGCTCACGTACTTCATAATATTGTCGTTTTAGGCAACCATCTGATTTTCAGGGCAACCTTCTTCCCTGGCGAAGCTTCAAAGGGCAGAGAATGTGCGTTTTTGCCTTTTAAGAGTGTGGCATTTTAAGAAACGAACATAAAATTTTAGCACCGTTAGCGCGAAAAGAGAAAGAGGCAATCAAATGACTAGATTTTTTGTAAAAACGAAAACACCATAAGATACATATTTTAATAAAATGAAATCCTGCTCATCGTTATGGAGTTTTTCTTTCCTTTAAACGCGCAAAATGCTGTAATCAAAATTTCTCGAAGTATGTACGTGAAGAGAATGCTTACGTATGAGAAGTTTTTTCCTCTCATGTAAAATTTTAGAAAAATGGACTTACCAACATTTCACTCTACGGCGATATGTATGTACATATTCATTTGAATGTACATACATATAAATAATGACATACATATGTAAATATGTTAGTGCTTAACTTGCCACAAATATGTATATACACCTAGTATTTATAACTTTTATTTAGGACCATTCAGAATTTTCGTAACTCTCACAAAAAAACTCATTTTTTCTAATTTTCAGTTCGTTTGCATGGGCGGAACACCAAAGCGCATGGAAAACTTTGCACATTTCATAATGTCGGAAATAGGTTATAAATTACCCGCCGGTACAAAGCTGGAAGATATTAGCGCCTATTCATATCGATACTCAATGTACAAAGTAGGTCCGGTGCTTTGCGTTAGTCACGGCATGGGAACACCCTCTGTCAGCATATTGTTGCATGAATTGATAAAACTCATGTACCATTCCAAGTGCCAAGATCCCATATTTATACGTATTGGCACTTGTGGTGGTATCGGAGTTGAGGGGGGTACTGTTATCATCACCGAAGAAGCGCTCGATAGCCATATGCGGAATGCACATGAATTTGTAAGTAAACACTTCAACAAGTGAAATGATTCTCTTTTACTTAGTTCAATTAATTACTATGTTTTTACTCTCATTACCAGACGATCTTGGGTAAAACTGTGCTGCGGCCTGCTAAACTCGATAAGAAACTGGCACGCGAACTGAAGGCACTGGCCAGTGAGGATGATCCGTATGACACGATTATCGGCAAAACTCTATGTACAAATGACTTTTATGAAGGTACTCGTGGGCTGAAAAAGAAGTTGAGAATTTTTAGAATTAAATTATAAAAAATGTTTATAGGTCAAGGTCGTTTGGATGGTGCTTTCTGTGAATTCACCGAAGCCGAAAAAATGGAATATTTAGAAATGTTAAGCAGCAAAGGTGTTGTCAACATCGAAATGGAGAGTACTATTTTTGCCGCACTTACATATCACGCTGGCATTAAGGCGGCGGTAGTCTGCGTTGCGTTATTAAATCGATTGAACGGCGATCAGGTGAGTTGCAAAAATGTATTTAAATTTTTAATGACAAGTGTATAATGCCTGTCGTTCAATTTCGTAATTACTTACATTATTTAAAAGTGCTTTACGCTAAAACTCCACCGCCAAAAATGCTAAATGAATTTAAGCAGTTTTTAGCGATTTTCGCGATTTTATCTTAAAAAAGTATCTCCAAAAATCTAAATTTTTTGTTAATTTTCTGGCAGATTTTAGCGATGAGTAAACTGTGTGAACTTTTTTTGACAACTCATATAGCCAAAATTGAGCGTATTTTGCATCGCTAAAAATCTTAACTTATCGCTTTAAAAAAGTCTAAAACTGGCGACAGGAAAAAATTGGTGCTAAAAATTTTTAATAACAAACCAGAGGTAATATTTTTATCGTTGTTCGTTAAAACTATTCCACTATGTATGTAAAGAAACTTTGTTAATAATAGGAAAAATGGAAAAAAGTGACGGAAAAAGAGTGATGAGGCCCGAATTGTATACTTGTTCAATATTTTCGTGAGAGAGCTATTGAGTAATTTTTTTACAAAATTATTCCTCGTGATATTTTAATACATACTCCGATGTGAATTGTAATTTTTTTTTGTAATCAATTCAAAAAAACTTGGGAAAAAATGGCAGACTTAATATGGCCATGAAAACTAAATTTGGCCAAGAAATGCCAAAAGATTTGGAGGTTTAACTATGTATATGGATCTAGGTATTTCATTCTAAGTTGGAATCATATCGCCCCCGGGCAATGACCTTAAAATTGTTGAACAGTGTAATCAATGATTTGACTATGTAAACGGGTTGATTAACGAACGCAATTTGATAGGGATTATATTTATATGTAAACGTAGGTTTAGAAAAAGCATACTTGTATGCTTCCCTAACTCGAACTTCCTTTAGTCGAACAAACATGTAGACGCGTTCAAAGATCCTGTTTCGTTTATGTGGAAAACTTCCAAGAGCAAAGCTTTTAACCAATAAATTAACACTAGTTAACCCACATGACGTCAAAACGCCAGCGTTTAATTCAATTTTTTAAACAGGTGAAAACCTATTCAAAAACCTCTACCAATATTCCTAATAATTAATCTAAACCATTTCTCAGTGAGAGAGGTCTCGCATGGTGTCGGTTTTCATTTCATCAAACTTAACTTAACTTAAAAAATAAAACCTCTGCACATCTATGTAGAATCCTAGTTCTTTTATTTGACTTCTCATTTTGGAAATTCGAAATAACGGTGCAGATGTGATGACCTTCAAAAAAAAAAAAAATTAGATGGCAACTCTAATTAAAAATATTATCAGCATATAGTTTTCTTAAAACTCTTTCGTTTGACACTAATATTTCGATATTGTATTTATGAATCTTTCGTATAAGTAAAACAACTTCGACTTTTCGGACAGGTGGCAAACTAAAATTTTTCGCCTGGCATTGTTACACATATTTCAACTAACTGATGAATTAAGTTGAATTGAATTTTTTTAAGCACATGGCAGCTCTCCTAAATACAGTTTAGAAATAAATTATTTTCAAACCCATTTCGATTGATACCCATCTTTTGACCATCCATTTAACTTATTAAATAATTTGAGCTTAATTTATTCAAAAAAAAAAACCAAATGTTCAGCTTAGAGATTTCTTAACGCTCGTTCTTTTGATAACCCTATTTTAAAATTTCATGTAACTTATGTATAATTAAACGAAATACCACTTTCAAAACAGGCGGCAACCATCTTAGAAATTATTTTCTGACTAAAATTCATATAACTGATGAATTAAGTGGAAATTTATTTTTAAACACGTGACAATCCTCCTCAATTTAGTTCTTAAATAAAGGATTTTAAACCCATTTCCATTTATCGGTTAGTAACTCATTTAACTTATTAAACAATTTTAGTTCTGCCATTTAAACTGGGGCAACCCTCAAACACATCAAAAATGTTCTAAATTTTCAAATTAAGTATTGCTTGAAGCTCTTTCATTTGATATCCATCGTTAATATTTCATATAGGTGGCAACCTTATTCAAAATATTTTTAAACTACTACCTTCTTAAACCTCTTTTGCATGACACCCATATAGCGATACCTTATCCACTTATCAAATTCATTTCGATTGATACCCATATTTAATAATTAATTTAACATTTTAATTAATTTGAGCTTAATTTCTTAACAGGTGGCAACTTTTTTCGAAAAAGTAAAACCTTCTTGAACATCCACACCCTAAGCCCAAACGGTGTGGATCTGATGGCACTGATTATTAAATTATTTGAATGCAATTTTTTATCAGGTCAAAAATAAAATCGAACGAACGGTGCAGATCTTTTAGGCTGCACAATTAGATAATAGATAATTTGGATTTAACTTTTTACACAGGTGGCAACCCTCCTCAAACTCATAAAATATATTCTCAATGTGCAAACTAAGATTTCGTAACACTTTTTTGTTTTATATCGATAATTGAATTAAATTAGACTTCTCGAACAGGTGGCAACCCTATTAAAAATATGTTCAATCTAAAATCTTCTTAAATCTCTTTCGTCTGACACCCATATTGTTATACCTATTTTAATTACCCCATTGCCTTAATTAAAATTGAATTTGATTGTTTAAACCGGTGGCAACCCTCCTACACGCAGTAAAGAAATAAACTATTTTCAAAACTACTGCGATTGGTACCCAATTAGCAAATATTGATTTAACTATTTAAATAATTTGAACCTAATTTTTAAACAGGTGGCAGCCCTCTTCAAACACTTTAAAAATATTCTAAACGTTCCAACTAAAGATCTCTTAAGATTCAGTCGCTTGACATCCATATTTTTATACTTCATATAAATTAGACTTTTCACACAGGTGGCAACCCTCTTGAAAATGTTTACAAACTACTACATACTTAACCTTTACCGTCTGGCACAAATACATATTTCTATTACCTAATTCCCCCAATTCAAATTGAATTTGATTTTTTTAACAGGTGGCAACCCTCATAAAGTTAAGTTAAGAAACAAACATTTTCAAACCTATTTCCATTTTGTGAGGACCCCGGATCCTGTGGCCCTGGGCCCCACAACAACTATTTTATATACATATATAATTTGAATTAAAAGATATGTACCATTGAATTGTATATTTGAAATTGTAAAAAAACGCTTCGGATACGCTACGTATACTTATTGAATTGCATCTATTTGAATTATACTAGTGCATGTGTATTATACCATTAGCGCACACAAGGGGTGGGTTTTGGGGTTCAAACCCCCTCCCCCCCTAAAGCTAATAACCTCAAATACAATCTGTATCTTAAAGCTAAGAATCCAGCTCTCAAGGAAATTATAAGAAATATTTATTATAATTTCTGTTGCTTGAAAAAGCGCTTTGCTTTTGCTGTAAATTTTCATGAGGGAATAAATATACGAGCATTTTTTTTCTTGAGTGCTGCAAACTGATTTAAGAAATTTTGGTAGAAGAAAATTTCTTTTCCATTTTTCGTTTTTCTTGAGAGTTCAGTTAATTTTTTCGGTATTTGAAATATTAAAAAAATTTAGCAATCGTGAAAAATCACCATCTCTATCGAAAACCAGAAATCGAAAAAATGAACATAGAAGTGCAAAAATTCATGGAATCAATACATTTATTTTTACCGACTCTTTTTTAAAATTTTTTATTAGGTACTTTTGACAGTTGAGCGCATCTTGAGTTTATAGAACTTTTTATTAAACAAGTAGTTTTTAAGGAAAGAACACAACCGACTTCAATTCTCATATTCAAATTTAGGGGTACCGTTAATTTCTTCATGATCCAATCATCGGATCTCTAAAACAAATTACGGGACGAACCTTGAGGTACTATCTTTCTAATAAAAAAAGGATTATTGAAAACGGTTCACGCGGTCCAAAGTTATGTATTCCGGCGAGATGATAACCTCCCTTTTTTTTGAAGTCGGTTAAAAGCGTTTGAGTTTTGTTAATCTGTAAATAAAGTGCAGTTTATGAATTTTAAAGCGTTTATTTATTTATTACATACTGTACATAAAACTTGCATAAATGTATTTTAAAGAGGGTATTATCTGAAGCAAATTTTCAGTATTTTCCGGCGATATATCTTCAGAAATATAAAACCCCCCCTAAAATATATTCCTGGGTGCGCCCCTGATGTATACACTAACATATTTTGAATTATTAGTTTGTATGTACAATACCTACATAACATGTATAAAGCACAAACAATTGTAATGAGGATAACTGTCTGCGGATGGACAAAAATGGTATAAAAGTAGCAGTGCTAACAAGCATTGTTTATTAGCTAGGCATACGTGGCACGCGTCGCAACGTGGGTCACACGGGTAGTGGAAGAGGGATCAACCTCCGAGACTATTATTGTATATTCGAAGTGGGCTTTAACCACTGAGACTGGTGCTAGCTGTAGGGTTTAAACCTACTCTAGTTCTATACTTTAGAGAGTAGGTATAGCGAGAGTATAGCGAATAAAGAGGCTGTAAACTAGAAGCGAGTGTGTTCTAATTTCTTGAGGAAATAGGTTGTTTACTCCTTACAGGACCCTGGACAAAAGAGAGCTACGCCCAGCACTCAGGAAAGCCCGTTACAATTTATGCCCATTTTATAATAATTGGTCTAGCTTTTAAAATAATTTGAACTTAATTTTTTAAATGGTGCTCTTTTCGAAAAATTTAAACCTTATTGCACACCTACAGCCAGAGCCCTTTGATTTAGCGCCTCACTTTTGAAAATCGAACGAACGGTGTGGATCTGCTGACATTGATTATTAAATTATTTGAATGCAATTTTTTATCAGGTGGCAATTCCTTTCGAAAAAATAAAGCTTTATTGCACATCTACACGCCAAGCTCTTTAATTTTGCACCCCATTTTTGAAAATCGAGTGAACGGTGCAGATCTTTTATGCGGAACAAAAAATGCCTTCGCGTATTATTTTGAACTTATTTTCTTAACAGGTGGCAACTTTTTTCGAAAAATTAAAACCTTTTTGAACTTCCATACTCTAAGCCCTTCAGTTTGAGTTCAATTATTTAACAGGTGGCAACTCTTTTCGAAAAAATAAAACCTTATTGCACATCTACAGGCCAAGCGCTTTAATTTGATAACCCAATTTTGAAAATCGAGCGAACGGTGCAGATGTTTTAGGCTGCACAAAAAATGCCTTCGCGTATTATATATAATAGATAGATGTTAGCATTTGATAAGATTTAAATCACTGAATTGGTTTGCAATATTGAAAGAAATATATTTAAAAACTTTAGCATATTAAGAAAAAGTTACTTTGACAAAAGTTCACACATATAAAGTCGAGCTTCGAGCTCTGGTTGTGTCAAAAAGTTGCCGAATTCACTTAATCGACTAACTTTCGACTTTTTCAACTAACCGCTCAGAAACAACTGGTCGAATAACCGCTCATTTTCAATTTTTCGTCTAGTGGTTTTCTTTCAATAAACGGTGGTTATTGGCAAAATCCAATCGTGATAATAACAATCATTTTGTAGTGAACAACTGTCCCTACTCGAATAATTTCGGTTTGTCGATTTTCAGATTATATACTCAATGGTGTGCGGTTAGTCGAAAATGAATGGTTAGGCGAATTCAAGCGATTAATTGAATATCTGCTAGGCGACTATGTACCGACAAAAAAGTTGCTAAACGAATAAACGAATAGATGGAGAATCGGTTTTAACCAGAGCTTTAATAGAAGGTTGACGTGAGAGATTCCACTTAAGATGTCCACTTCCTCCTTCCTTTTCTTAACCTTCTCAGTACCAAAAATAAACCGTTGAATATAAACATCTTTCAATCTGAAAAAAAATAAAATTTTTTCCCATATATTACACTGTACACTATCGACTTTTAAAACACTGTTCACCATGATAAAAACATCGTAAGGTAAAACCATTCTCTCAATTCGTCGGCCATGATTTTTTTTTTAAGTTTGCCAACATTTTAACATCATATAAAATTGAGAGTAAAACAAGGAATTGTTCAAAGCTGTTGTTGTTTGAGATTGAAAATGAGAATGTGTGTGTGAGCTTGAGTCTAAAATTTTAAAATTAAAATGCTTGCAAACGTCAAGAATATGAAAAATTCCTCTCAGCGGTTCTACATTCTTATGTTATTATCATGCTTTTCACTTTTGTGAAAAAAAAACATTAAAAGAACTGCGGTAAGAAGATTGATATAATTCTCAAAACCACTGCTCTTTCAACTTCAAGAGCTCTTATTTACAGAGGAAAAGAAAGTGTTCAACATACACATAAAATTGGGGCACGTCCATTATAGGTATCATAGATGAATTCTCCATGCCTGGAAAATAAGTATCGAAGATATCATTTTCTCTGCAGCTGTCCAGCGTTGAAGTTCGTTGTTGGACCAGATATTTGTAAAACGAATAAGTAACATTATCTTTCCCACGACAAATCGCTCGATTAATAAGAGTCTGAAAAGTTTGTGGAGTAGATTTGACTCTTCGTTTTCCCTATCATTTTATATTTCCTCTAGGCTTTAAGTACAATTAGGGTTGCCAACATTTTCTAAGATACTTATACTATTTTCTTCAAAAAAATCTGAAAAAATATAGTACACTTTATATACATATAGTATTTTATTTAAAATAAATAGTAAAAAAGCTTTCTAAGTGTACATCTTTTTCTTTCTTATGCATTTCTCTTATAAAAAATATATTTCTTTGCACTTTTCGCAGTTTTTAACAAATCACTGTTAACTATGAAGAAGTAGTAATATAAATCAAAATGAAATTTGTTATTAGTAAGGTAATCGCTTTGTATCTCTAAGCTCGCCATTTAACATTCATAATAGAAAAAACTCTTTCTGTGAACGCCAAAGTTGCTGGAATAGAAGTAGAAATGAAATAATTTTAAGTAAATTTCGGTGTAATTATTTTTACATGACAGGAATATTTAATTTAGTATTGTAATTTTAGTGTAAAGGTCAACCAATTCAATACAAAGTTTGTCTTGCAAATTACTGAAATATATTTACAACTGAAGAAATATAATATTTTCTTCATCTTCATCTTCATCTTCATCTTCATCTTCATCTTCATCTTCATCTTCATCTTCATCTTCATCTTCATCTTCATCTTCATCTTCATCTTCATCATCATCTTCATCTTCATCTTCATCTTCATCTTCATCTATACCTTCATCTTCATCTTCATCTTCATCTTCATCTTTATCTTTATTTATTTTAATAAATAATTTGAATTTGATTTTCGTATATATGGCAACCCGTTAAAAAACTAAAATCATATTGCAAATCTACAGGTCGAGCCCTTTCTTTTGACAACTCATCGCTTAAATCGAACGAACGATACAGATTTTATGACTTGGTGTTAAATATTTAACGCCACCCTCTGCGGCAGAGAAATTTCGAATTCGATTTTCTAACATGTGGCAACTCCTTTCATGGAATTAAAGCTATGCTGCACACCGGGAGGGTGAGGCCTTTCATGTGAAACCTCACTTTTGAAAATCCAACGAACGGTACAGATTTTAGGATTTGGTGTTACTGGCCGTCTCCACAGGATAAAATTTATTGCTGCCCAGCTGTCATTTTGGTCGCTAGATATAAGTTATATCAGTGGTAATATTTGAGTGGGCTTTTTATATCTTGATATAAGCATTTGTAAGATAGCTTTGTAAATGTAAATGAAACCGGATTTAAGGCCCGTTTACATACAACTTTGGCGTTGCGTTGGCGTTGGCGTTGGTTTGACAGAACGCACGTTAAAAGTATGCTTGCTACAATGAACGCTTGGCGGCGAATCCTTGGGCCACTAAATTAACATATTAACGACAGATAAATTAATATTTCATATCAATAATTGCATTAAAAACGATATTTCTTGCCCGCACTTGATTAAAAAGGAAAAATATTTCACATAATTTTATTTATTCGCAACAGCTGACGAGCGGACGCACGCGAAAAGTTGAGAGTTGGCCATCTTTTTGCTTTGTGTTGGCGTGAGCGTTGTCGAATTTTGGCTATGTGGACGGCTGCATTTGAATTCATGTATTCATAGTCAGCTGTTGAAGCGACGCCAACGCCAACGCAACGCCAAAGTTCTATGTAAACGGGCCTTTAATCGCTTGGAAAATTTAGAAAATAGGCTATTTTACATCCAAGTACATAATTACAAATATTTTAACAGGAAACAGCTCAATTTTCGCTTTTATATTAAAATAATAATGATGTTGCAGCCACGAAGTTTTCGTGCAAATGAAAATGTAGATATAAGCTATGATATATATTGCTCTTGAAGAGCAATGAGCGGTCTCCATTGACTATTTATATTCTAACATATGTATCAAGATATAAACTTTATCTTGTGGAGACGGGCAGTTAGATATTTAACGCAACCATCTCCGAACTCGTGTAAGAAGTTTCACTTCAATAAGGCTTTAAATTGTTTCCTTTCTTGAAACCAGTATGGAATGAACTGATATTTTTCCTGTTCTTGCAACAAGGAATCCTTATCGATGGCCCCAAAAGCCAAAAAATGCATTTAAAATTTCCCGTTCTTGAGATTTTAATTTGGTCCCTTTTTCCCGAAATAGAACACAGGGTGTGCCAGAACAACGCTTGCCAGTTGAAAAATTTTGTTTCTGTATTTCACACGAAAATTAATAATAATACATACATATGTCTATTCCTTTCAGGTCAACGCGCCCAAAGAAGTAATGCATGAATGGCAAAATCGACCGCAAACACTTATTTCACGTTATATCTGCAAAACGTTAGCGCAGAAGGGGCAGCTGAAATCGCTTTCTCGAGGATCAATTAAATCACCTCGGCGTTTTAAGCTGGTACAACAGGAGTCACAGGCGCATGAATAAGCTCACATAATCATTTATATGTATCTATTAAGACGAAAAGCATTCGTTGCCAGATTGGCAATTTATGTACAGAATGTCTTTAAATCAAATGCATAATTTAGCATAATTATATAAAAAGTTGCATACTCCTTCATACATACATACGCACATAAAAAAATGAATAAGTTATCAAAATTAAGAAGGTAAAATAATTGTTAGAACTACTCCATACAAAACATTCCAGAAAAGCGTTAAAAGACAAAAACTTCGCCAATGTTCAATAAAATATAAAAATATTTTGTAAAAATAAAATTTGGCAAAAAGTGAAAAGTTAATGTTAAAAAATCACATTGCTGAAAAGTTGAATACGCCGCTTTCTCCAAGCACGCATTGTAGGTCGAAATGCTTATTTATTTAAAACCAGCTTTAATATATTTTTAATAATAATTATTGTTTTTAATTAACTAGTTTTATTTCAAAGCAACGAAGAAAACATTTTACAAAAGAGATGCATCAGCAAGTAATTTCATTATTTTAAGTGGTTACTCGAAGCATTTGGATACATAAATATGTACATACAGTGGTCCACAAAATAATAGGAGTGCGTTATTTTGGTCAGTTTTTGCTATTTGTCTTTTGTTTATTTAATGTTTATTATTTTTATACAAATCTCAAGCTGGGTATACAACAAACAACGAATAAATTCAGAGTTCAACCTTTGTTCAAAAATTATTAAAATTCTGTAAATTTTCACCAAAATATCAAACTTTTTAATCAGAATCTTCAGAGAAAATTCTGGTATGCAGTTTTATAGCCCATTCAATTCTAGTCTGAAGATGTGCAAGTTTCAAGCTGCTAAAAAATTCCGTTGATTTTTGGCAATTTTTTTTTGCTGGCACTGTCCCCATATAAAAGAAAATTGTCGAACATACTTTGTATGGAAAAAACGTGAAACACCTTCAACCGAAAAAATTCTCAAAAATCAACGGAATTTTTTAGCAGCTTGAAACTTGCACTTCTTCAGACTAGAATTGAATGGGCTACAAAACTTCATACCAATATATTTTCTAAAGATTCTGGTTAAATAGTTTGAAATTTTGGTGAAAATTTGCAGAATTTTTATAATTTTTGTACAAACTTGAAAATGTAAATTTATATGGTGTTTGTTGTATTACCAGCTAGGCTTTTACAAAAAAATACGAAACATTAAATAAACTAAAGACAAATAGCCAAAACAGGTTAAAATATCCCACTCCTATTATTTTGTGGACAACTGTACATATATATGAATTATGAATTTATGTATGGCTTTATGATGAATAAGTATCATATACCCTGCAGGAAAATCTAATGATTCCGAATTCATGCGATTTTGGTAGCACATTCACCCAGAATAAAAATGTTAAAGTAACATAAACTGTTTTATGCTTAATTCAAATTAAAAAAAAAAACTATAAATCAAAGAAATAAACAAAAAATGTTGGCTCGAAGGTAGAGAAAAAATAGAACCAGGTTTTCGCAGAAAAAAAATCGCATTTCAGCATAAACAGCACACTAGCTTAATGTGCTGTCTATTTGCAATATTTTTATCTTTTGAAAGAAGTTTGAAAATTTAAATTAATTAACATAAGACAACGTTTAAAAATAATTTGACTGATGTAGCCCGTGGTCGGTTGTTTTCAATATGTTTCAAGCATAAACTTATACATAAACAAAATAAACCAGCTGTTTTCATTTGTATCATGAGCAAAAGATTTAATAGCAGTGAAGTTTTTGAAAGAAAATAAACACCGAAAACAAGATTAAAGAAATTAAACTTTAATTCGAATGTAATAAAAACTAAAGTAAAGTAAAGTAATTTGCGAACAAAAGTATTTTGAATCAGTTAATATTTTATTTTGCAATATTAAAACAAACTCATGATATCTTAGATTAAAAACACAAACGGTAGCGCTGTACAAACGCTACTTTGAGCGCAGCAAACTAATCTCCAAATCGGTTTGAATGTGAGAGGTGTTTATACACTACACCCAGAAAAAGTCAGCTAAAAATATTTCTCTCAGCACTTACGACTATAACCACGTCGTAAAGCATTTTGGAAAAAATTTTACAATTGTAATCCAGACTTGCGATAGGTCGTTCACACAATTTTGTTCACAACGTTACCATTTCGCCAAAAATTCGCCTTTGCGACGTTTTATGAGTTGCACTACTATATCTAAGTGTTCGTAGATATCAACTACCGATTGACAGTTAAAAAAAAATCTGGCAAAGCAAATTGAATTTCAGTTCGTACATTTGTTTTGAGTCGTGCTGAATTGAATTAAAGCGCCCCGTTTATGCGTATACGCGTGTGATAACTCCATTTTTTATATTTTGGGTTTTATTCAACAATCAGTGTTTTATTTATATAACCTCCCGTTACTAACATGACTTTTACAACACGGTTACTAACATTGGTCTTTCAGGCCGAAGTGCAGTGAATGTTAATTTCTTCACATTACAGAGTGGCGACGAATAACTGTTACCCCCTTTTTTTTGAGAAATAAAAGGGTCCTTTATAGATTTTGGGAAAAAAGTATTTTATTGTTAAATTTCCACAGATTTTACTTTAGCTGTATTAATTAGTTATTAAATCTTAATCCCTGTTTACATTTGCCAGCAGTTTAAACTTTGAGAGACAAAGTTCATTTGGCACGCAAGTCTTTTACAGATGTATTTTTTCTTAGGCTTTAGCATCAACAAGATCATTGATAAACCGAAAGTTATATGTACAAAGAAATAGTCTGTTCCTTTGAACTTCGGACTAAAACCTGTGGAACTGTCAAACTACAATTTTACGCTCTCAAATGAGAGTAAAAGGAGAACAGATGCAGAAGTGCATAGGAACGCAAAAAGCACTATTTCCTGTAAAAACGTCAGACGGTTTGTTTACATGTCATTGGTACTACACTGATTTGGCTGAAATATCACTAAATAATTATTAAAATCTATACATATTCAAATATTTCGTTGTTTACTTCCATTTTTTAACAAATATAAGGTTCTTTGCTTTCACCGCTTTCTGTTTTTGTTTGCACATGTAAATCAGCTGATCGTTTGACACTTTTCATGAACTTACAGGAAAAAAATCTCCGGACTAAATCCTGTAACTTCTGACTAGGAACAGTTGCTCAGTTACTCTCTCAAATGTGTTCCCACTTACAGGTTTTATGTCAATAGGAACGACTTCCTGTAAGTTCTGACTAAATCCTGTAAACCGGACTGCAATTGGAACAGACTAAAAAGAAGTTCAAAAAGCTCCACTCTTTTGTACAGAAAGCTTTAAGAATGTGTTCGGTTTGTGAGACAGCATGTTAGTAACGGAAGGTTAATGAAAGTAGAAAATAATTACGAATAGAAATGATTTCTGTTATAACAGACTCACCGAAGTTTTAAATATTTCATTGAAAATGCAAGTGCGCTTACGTAAAAAGTGAAATGGAGTTATCATTTATGTGCTATATATACCTGACACCACATATATGTATGTACATAAATTAAGCTAAATTGTACGACTGTCGTGCTGAAATATGTAAGTAAACGACGAAAATCGTCGAAAACTTTCCAGTGCTGCCAAGTTTTTCCGTTTTAATACACTAGTCGAGTGGAAGTTTTAGGCAATGACGGTAAATTTCCGATACGATTGGACTCTCGAAAAATGACTTGCATTCAACACGGCTCTCGCAATGAGGCTGATTATATCTGAGGCTACAAGGAATTACAGCTAAAGTTGACTTTAGCCCAAAATTTTTGAAAAATTTATGTGAATTATGCATTAAAGTACAGTTGGCCTCCCAATTTAAACTGTTATTTCTTATTGGCATGGATATACCCTGTATATACATATACTATATATAGTTGTATAAACAGTTTATATGAATATTAGACGATTAAGACCACAGCATTTATGACGTTATTTTAATGAAATATACATGCATACATATAACTAATATTAAATAGAAAAATTGTATTGTTTATTGTCAAAAGACATTCCCAAAGAAGAAACCGTTGTTAAGCTGAATTTTTGTAAGCGTGTAAAAGTTTGCTAAATAAATGTCATATTTATGCACATAGATATCGTGGCCTGGGTAAAAGATTGTCGTATGTTAATTTCGGCAGGTTGTGGGAAATCGCTATTGAAGTTTGGATTGCAATTTCTCAAAAACGCGAAGATAGATTTTCTCCAAATTCTCTGAAAATGTTACTAGCTCACAAAATTCTTAAATTATTTAATTCTTAATGTTTATTTTTAATTAGTTTTGAGTTTATGAAGTATTTTCTATAGTAAAATTTTGTCGTAAGCGTCATTTGTCCACAATGTGGTAGCCACTTTTTATGAAATACGACAAAATGTGATCAAAACTCCTACCAAATTAACGACACTTTTTACTTAATATTTCGGACACTGAAGGAGATATCCAAAAATGGAGAACGCAATTTTTAAGATATTGACTAGTTTAATATGACTGTATCACCAACTAAATTTTTTCTCAATTATCGAAAAAGTTGTAGTCAATATCTCGGAAACTAAACTGATAACACCAATCGAAAGACCTTATTTCAAAATATATAACTGCATCTAGAACTAAAAATCGTCAAAATGGCGCTTACGACAATCTTTTACCCAGACGACGATATGTGCGTAGTTTTAAGATATGCAGTTACATACATTTATTGTATGATGAAAACTTATATAAATATATTAATCGAATTGTACAACTCAGAGGGCAAAAAATGAATAATACAACAAAAAAACATAAAAAATTGCATATGAGGTTAAGTTTTCAAATATATTGTATTTATCGCTTTTTAATCTCACACTTTATTCCCCCTATTTGTATGTAGTGTGTGTAAAGTTAATTATATTATATTTGTTAGTTGTAATATTTAATTGTGTATTTAAACGTTCGTTACTAATCTTATTAAATCAAAACTCTCTCATCCAAGTTATTATATTCGTATGTCTAGTTGGTCAATACATACATCCTATTGGCCGTATATACATATGTATATTAAATACATGCGGTACTTACTAATGTATGTACCATAAAACACTTCTTATGTAATAATATATGATATCAAGAACGAAAAATAAAACTGAAGCTCCATATCTGGATACACCAAAAACAACAAAATATTTGTTTGCTTTAATACATATATATCATATTAATTAATTTTGAATGTACATATGTAGAAATTTATCTACATATGGAGGATGGTTACGGGTGCACACAAGAGTGCAAAAAAAGGAGTGCCCAAAAGCGAATTCCGCCCCTCTTTTCCGTCAACACAGAGAGGAGACTACTACTTAGTAAAGAGAGAAAGTTCTTCGCAAAAATACTTCCGCCACACAGAAGGAGAATTTTACTTAGTGAGGTTCGTAATCTCTAAGCGCGGCCAAAGGCCGCCTACGCAGAACCAAGTTCTGCGCAAAAATACTTCCACCCTTCTTTTCCGGCAGCATAGAAAGGAGAATTATACTTAGTAAGGGTTATAATCCGAAGGCCACCTACAAAGAAAGAAGTT